ATTTTGATATAACTTATTTTGATATAACTTCCTCTCAAATGTAGGGCAGCATATTGAAATGCTATATTTTGCTTGTGTCACCCAACAGTGCAAATCCCTGTTTATCCTCCCTGACTAAATATCAGTGACTGAGCCAAACAGAGGAACCCTTGAAGTTCTTATTGAGCTGTTTGCATGAATTAGCTCCGAAAAACTCTGGAAAGTAACATTTCTGCGAAGAGAACTATTTTAGGATAGCTGTTATTTGGTTGGATGAAACTATGTGTATGTGTGCTTAAATGCATTAACATGATCACTACGATCACTATGTTTAGCTAAAAGAACAGTGTCACTCTGCCTTGCGTTGTCATATATGTGTGTTATATGTGTTTATGTGTGTTACATTCAGTCAATAGATTTAAGTTTGTTTTTGTTTTTCATGCTTTTTTCCCTTGTGTTTCAGTATGTAGTCACAATATTCCATCAAACTTTCCGCCTATTTCCTTTGGTCAAATTAGCATTTGTAATTTAGTACCTGCCCAGGCTCTTTGTTTGTGTATTGGTCATCCTGTCAGCGTCATCCTGCCCACATGATAATCAAAGTGATATAAGCGAGCTCGGACGCCCTCCTAACCGCCAGGGTCTAACCTAGTTTAACAGTAATGATAGTTACATCACATCCTCACTATTGGTAAATGTCACCAACAGCCAGTGGGAGAGTTGTTGAAGTCCGAAAAGAGGCACTGGGTTAGAGAAACTGTTATTTTCAACAATGCTGACAGGCCCTTACTGGACCTTTTTTAATTTCCGTCCACTTTTATTTTTTTCTAGGGATGAAGCAATCACTGAAAACCAGATGAATAAGCCTCTTCTCATTTTCATCTCCGTCTCTCCAAAACCTTTTCAACATCAACATGATCTGAAACTTGAGTTGGACTGATAAACAATATGAAAACCAGCTCCTAAAGCAAACACGGCTAATCTACACAGGCTTACGGCTTCCTCTGTGCATAAACGTGCAGAGGCCGCACCTTTCTGCCTGTCCTCTCACTCAGGTGCAGATTTTACAGCCCAGCTACCAGTTGAATGTGGTCTTTGCACTGTGCTCAAGTGATATTTGCACGGTCAAACAACGAGGCACGGGAATACCCAGCAGGGTCCTTGAACCGTTTTAATTCTCGATGCTGGTCTGGTGCATAGGACGGGCTTTATGCTCAAACACTGTAGACGGTGGTGTCTTTTTTCTTTAGCAATTTAGAACGACACACAACTAAGCACCCTTTGGGTTTTTGTCCTGCAACTGGAAATCAATAGCACAGACACAGAGAATATATGCGTCACAATCTCTTACATCATTTGTCCTGAGTCAAAGAGCTCAGGTGGGCATCGTGCCTTATCAAAGGCTAGTGAGCACATTTAGAGGAAGGATCACTCATTGTGTCTGTGAACACATATTGATTCAGTTCTCAACGACAAAGCACGCAGTCCTAAAGAGCAGTTGACTCCCAGTTTGAAACGCTTCTGGTTCTACATGAGGAAAGCTGCATCTGGGCTGTTTTAACACCACTGGAAAATAAAGTTGGCATGGAGAGATGCGCATATCTACGTTTTTGCTCAAACTGGGCCTTGATAATTACAGGAGTGTTGTGTGAGGGGGAATATTAAGCAGTTGCATCGCCCTCTGCTTATCAATCCGTACACACTGTTTCCTGCTCCTCGTTGCCTACTCCTTAACCTTCCCCATGCCTTTACTTGTAACTCCTATATTCCACCTTTCTGTCTTCTCTGCCCCCCAATTTCAGCCCCACTCAACCCGACCCCACACCCCGCTACTCGTTGCTACATCTTTCTTCACTTTTTTTCCAATCTCAGGCGGTCTCATCACACATCTCCCATCCCCACCCCCTCCCACACTCCTTCTCTTCTCTCTGGAGTCACTGCAGCGTGTCTAATGGCTCCGCTCCTCCTCGGCAGATCCACCACGCGGAGGCCAGACGAGCAGCAGCCCCGGCTAACGCCTCCAAACCGCCGCACTTATCAAGACTGACAGCCAGCTCGACCTGGAGCTATCACCAGCGCGCACGCCCGCGAGTAATTACAAGCGTACACGCCAGCATGTGCACACGAGTAGAAGCCCGATACAGTCCCCCTCACACAGGCGCTCGGAGGCAAAAAGAATGCGTTGCGTTACACATTCGAAAAACGGATCCCCCTGATGTGAAATGAGGCCGCTGCAAACGGGCTTCTCTGCAACAAGCACGGCGAAGCCCTACTTGGATGCTGACAGGTTCTGCAGAACAATGCACAGATTGCAGAGGAGAAAGGTAATACTGCATACTAGTGTAACTGTCTCATCCACTGGAGGCAGAGGTGGGAGGGAAAGGAGGTAGAAGAGGTGGAACCAGCAAGATGTGGAGAACAGAGGTGATGGGCAGAGGGATAAGTAAAGGGGGAGAAGAATAAGAAAGTAGAAGAAGTAAAGGATGCAGAATTGTTCACAGTGACTGGAGTTGAGTTTATCACACAAGCACTAATTGGTTTTACTCCAGCCTCTTCCAGAAGGCTGATCAAATTGGACAAAACTAGAAACAATGGATCTTTGCTGCATGTGTTCCAAATTAATGATGTGTTTTACTGTATTTATTAGACCGTTCCCTTGTTTGAAGGTCCAGTGATGCTCAAGAGCAAGTCTTTCATTGGACCGTATGATGATTTCCCCCAGAATCTTCATGTCTGAGCAAGTTTGGTATAAACATCTCGGGACAAACACTTCACAGAGCAAGGAGGACACCACAGACAGGCGGGTAAAAGCTCACCTCAACTTTGAAAACCTGCCCTTGGAAAAAGAAAGAAGCTTTCAGTCATGAATCAACTCTATGGGCCAGTAGACCTTGTCAAAGTTAATGAGATCAGGACAAAAAGGGGGGAGGGGGTCTGTTAAGATCTTAGAAATGATTAATAGAATAATGTCAGTCATTTGGTGTGGTCCATCCCGAATCTAGGATGCTCAATTAAAATTGGATTGAACATACTTCACATTAAGATGAAGAATTTTGAGATAGATTGTTTCTGTTTTTTTTCTTGCAAGATCCCTTTTTCATTCCAAGCAATCATTGAACATGCTTTGTATAATTTCTGGTGGAAAATATATAATTTGATCATTTTAGATCCCTTCAACATTTGAAAGCATCTTTCTACTTTTTTATTGGCAAACATATGAAGGCTATTAGGAAACAAATATTGCATTTCCTCTGAAACTTTGCCAATACACTGTTGGTCTTTGTGTGTGAAAAACAGCCACAAAGCTGGAACAGAAATGTCATATTTCGTCACGTAAATTTAGAATGAAATATATTGTGAGATACAGAAAAATAGAAAAAGTAGAAAAACAACGTTGTGATATTAGTTAAAAGAATACATTTCAAGGTTAATAGCATCATAATTCAATCATAACAGCCTCTGGAAAAAAATACACCTTTTAGGGAGTTAATGTCATGAACAAACATTCTTTATGTCACAAATCGTGTTCAGAGTTTGTAAAAGTAAATTAAAAATCTGTCAAAGTGTAAACACAGACATTTATTTTCTCCTTATTCGGCATGGCACTGAGTAATCTCCTGAGATCTTTAGCGCGCTTTAGGTGTAAACACAGCACTTCTCTCACAGAAACCCACACACATTGACACACACACTGCACACAGGAAGTTCCCGACACAGGCCAAAGAACGCATGACAAACCTTGCATCACCTTCCTGTCTATGTTCACTGTTTCACGTTGTTCCAAAGCTGTGTGTGTGTGTGTGTGGGGGGGGGTGCATGCAGCAGATAATGGGCCAATTCTAAGGGACTATAGTTGTTTCCAGCCTATCAGCACATCCTGGAACTGGACTGTGGCCAATGGCAGTATGCTAAGAGCAGCTTGGGGGAGGGTGCTCTCACTCGCACAGGAAAAGAACTGTGGCCTTGATATGGAACACTGCAGGACATGATGATTTTGTATATTAAATGCTAAAGATGCCATACTGGAAGGGACTTCCCTTTTTATGTGTCTGAATTTTATGATTTATTTATGTGCGTTGCTCCTCTTCTGAATGAACAAACACCCAAAGAGCTCTAAAATGCATATTGTACTATTTAATGATATCCATAAAATATCCAATTCCATCTGTTTTTATTTCACATATGTTGAGTAAAAAAAATATCTAGACATCACATTTAGTATAGAATATACTGGAAATGGATTTTCTCCACCACATTATTCGTTAAATTACCAGTTGAATTATCTGTTTTGCCATCAAAAGCCGCTATCTGCTATTCATTTGTGGCTGATGTCTTGTGTAAGGATTAAGTTACAGACGCAGTCACTTATTTGGTAACAGAAATATCGCTAAGTGATCTGGTTTTTCCAAGATTAAAATGGTTGTCGTTGTTCATAGGCTTTTGAAAGGCAGATACTTTTTACCTTTAGATCAAACACAACTCATTTGGATGCCATCCAGCCGTTCATTTGGGTATTTAAACATAAAAAGGAATCCAAGTGTTCTCACACATTTAAAGTATATTTGTTACATATCAATTTATATTGGGAAGCAATTCTTTTCTTGATAAAGACAATGCTTATTTTCAATACAATATGAGCGTCACACACTTACTGGAACACCCGAGTTAACAACATGTTTTTTTTTTAATACATGGTGATGCAAGTCTAGCAATAAATCTGAAATGAGCAGACATTTAGAAATAAAGCAGTTGATTTTCCAAGCTCCAATACGTAATTTGTTGTTTATGGATCATTTCATGGTTTCATGATTAACAAAAATAGTTAATAATGTTTTCAGATTTCAATTTATACTGTGTCCCAATAATGAACAGTTTTTTTTATTATTATTTTCATTTTAAAACGGTTACTTATATGTGATGCAGGATTTTTTTTTTTTTTAAATGCTTTGTATGGTGTCCATTGAGAGGACAGGAAAGGACCCCGAGGGGGAAGACATGCAGCAGACCCAGAGAGCATCGACCTTCAGCCTCCATACGCAGTTCATGAAAGCTTCCTTTGTTGATCACAACATGGAGTGATAAGCTCGGCAGTTAAGGGAAATTAAATGAGACACAAAGAAGTCCACGCTGTCAAATGCCAATACTGGCACCGTGTCACCAGATGGCGGTAGTGTGCACCGAGACCATTCCGAGTTAACAGAAAAATACACAAACAACTATAAGAAAACCACAAAACCAAGATGGCGGTGCAGGAGACAGCATCTCAACTGTCCATGGCTCTTAAAGTCCAAGAATATCCCACCCTCAAGGTAAACAACAAAGAGACTGATGTATATCGATAGTCTGATGAGTGTAAAGCTTGCGGAATGCACGATGCTCAGGTTTCTGTCTGGAGAGCGTGAATTTGTTGTTCATAAGATGGCGAGGACAGCCAGCTTGACAGGGAGGCTAACGCTAGCTGAGCTAGCCTAGCTGGGTAGCTAGCGTCCACTTACTACCCAGATTTGTAAAGAAATAATCTACAATTGTGAAATATGACAGGCGGTGGCGGTTGGTTAGCTATTTTCTCAACGAGTTAATTTTCTTTTATCAGCTATGAGGGTTTCAGTGGCTCCACAGCTGCTAGCTTAACTTTTAGCCTGGTTTTGACCAGATGGACCACACAGTTAACTGTGGCATGTCGGGGATTGATGCAAACCTCTGCCAACGCCGCGTGCTGTTGACTGTATCTGATACTATGTCGCTCCATAATTTTTTGTGTGAATAGACTTAGTAGCTATGACACTTTGGTTTTTGTTTCGAAGAGAGAGAACGGTCCCTTTAATGGCGGTTTTAACTGTTCAAGTAGAACAACATGGTTGCTTCTTCGCTCGGAGGACGTCAAAGAAGTGACATGCAGACGTGATCGGCCTGTTAACGCTAGCTCGCTCTGCTGGAATAGGGATAGCCTACCCCATCCGGACGTGTCGAACCGGTAAATTGTCGCTGGTTGGATTGTGTACCGGTGGGAATCGTTGGGGGGGTGGGGTGGTAGCGGTGGTGGGGAGGGGGGCGGCGTGCGGGGGGAGAGAGTCCGAGTCCGAGTCCCCCCCACGCCGCGAGGCTGGGAAGCAGCCCCGTGAGTTAGCGCAGTGTCATCACATTGCTGCCTCCCTGCACTTCAAAATGGCCAGCGAGAGAAACCCCAGCCAGCTGCCGCCGCACACACCTACCGCCCCTCCGTCCCCCGGTACGCTACTGCGACACCGCCGCTGAGAGACGAGCTCCAGCACGGTCCGGTCCGGGCTGCCCGGGGCTCCGCGGCGGGACGGCGGCGTCGTGCCCAGCGGGGCCGTGAGTACCGACGTGTCGGCGGGGATGGTGCTCCGTGTCGCGGCTGGATGTTACGGCGTTTAGGGGGGCCGTGCTGAGACAGGCCTGTGGTGGTCTGGGGGACGGCTCTGCTGCAGTGAAGTGATGGGCACCATTTTAAGATGGGAGTGATGGTCGTAATTGGCATCAAATGGGGGTCTCTACATCTGTAGAGGGCTTTGGTGGTTGCATGCAAGGGTATGCTGAGCAGAATAATAATGTCCCAGAGGCGTCTGACACAGCCTGAGGGATCTTCCCAGCCAACAAAATATGACATAGTTGATGTCATTGTCATCAGATTAATAGATTCTTAAGGAACAATGTTTTAATGACTAAATATTTACATCCAGCAAAGCCAGACTGGGTGAAAGTGGCTGATTTATTTTAGCCTTTGGTTGTGAAGCATTCATCTAAATCTTGGCTCCTTACTGTAGGGCCTTATTTGATTATTGTTATCCTTGTTTGGAAACGGCCTCTCGATTTCTCTTAAGCAGGCTGACCCTCCTCTTGACAAATCATTAAAGGCTAAATAAAACATTCTCCTACAACACCAGCCTAATGGGATCTGAGAGGTTTGAAATGTGTTCATTCTTCCTCATTCATTTGGGGAAAGCAATAAAAAAGAGACAATGTAATGGCCAGTCATACTGAACAATACATGGCTTGTTACACTTGTCTGAAAATGTCTTCTGCTATGCCTGATCTGCCGCAGTTAAATACCAACCCGTTTTTATTATACGTGGCATAAAGATTTTTACCATCATGTCTGTGGGATAGTTTTTCTTTATGTAGAATCTGCTTAATAAATGTCTGCCTGAGCTTCTGTTTTAAAGGGTTTGTAAAGTAGAAGATTGAGTGAGAGGAAATCATCGTTCCGGAAGCCGTTTTCCATCGTGTTGGGTTTTGCCTGTGGATGAAATGCACACATGCACAGAGAGAATCGTTGAGTTGTTTAGCTTGCAGAAGGAAAGGCAGAATCTCCTGTAAATTCGTGCTGACGTGTTATGTAAGGCCTGTCTTCATCTGGGTTCTGGTGATTCTGCATGATGTCACCACTCAAACATGAAATATTATGTATGGTACCATGTGCTTTCATTAGTTCCTCTAAAACTATATAATCATGCAATTTTATTCCTGTGAAATTCTTCTTTCTTTTTAAGGGAGATATTGAATAAAAAAAGTAATACTTTTATAAAAAGATGGGGGGGGGGGGGAGTAAGTCCTAGAGAAGCTGCTGGACATTTGATTCCTTTACTGTTGTTCTTTCACAGTAGCCACTCACATCTGTTATGGCTTACAGCTAGATTAAACACACATGGTCCCACTGTGCTCTTCAGCTACCCATTCCCCAAACCTCAGTCAGATTTCTTTACTCAGGCAGATTTACATGATGCTGCTCTTCGGAGAATCCTCTCAGCGGATCAAATCTCGCCTCGCTGTAGGTTCCACTGTGAGGGTCACATGGAGCTGGTTCAGTTATGTCCAAACTAATCCTCTATGCAGGCGGGAGGGGGAAGCCCTTTTTGGTCTTCTTTCTTTTTTTAGATAATAGTCTTTGACCATGTTCTTTGCTTGTGAGTTTAAATTCTTTCAAATAAATATCACAAATGAAACAACGTGTGGAATTTCCTCGGGAAATGTGTTGGTTTGTCTCATGCATTGTGCTGTTATTACCCCATGAACTGGTCTTTGCTGTTTTTTAAAGGTTTTGTAACAAGAGTGTTAAATTAAAAGATAAATGAGCTAGGAATTTTTTACCTGAAGAGCTTCTTTGGGTTAGATTTATTAGAAGTGTGTGACTTAAGGTAAATATAATTCTGTATGAATCATTAGTGCACATTAAACAGAAGGTGTGATCGGCTCATTACCATTTAAACTAACGGCTTCATCGGGGCAGAGCCGCCTCCTCATTGCCGAGCTGTACGAGTGGAGCAGCTGTATTATCCTGTGTTGATGCCTTTTGTCTATCGGTGGTTCATGTTGTGTGAAATTGTCTCCACAGGTGCCATATGAGACACTGAACAAGCGTTTCAGAGCAGCTCAGAAGAATATTGACCGGGAGACGAGCCACGTCACCATGGTGGTTGCAGAGCTGGAGAAGACGCTGAGCAGCTTCCCCGTGGTCGACTCGGTGGTGTCTCTGCTGGACGGAGTGGTGGAGAAACTCAGCGCCCTGAAAAGGAAGGTGAGGCATGCGGAGCACCTGCAGCCATTTTGAGTTCCCAAATGATCGTCTTCACTCTTTATGTTAAGTTAGATTGAAATATAAAAGCACAGCAGCTTTTTTTTCCTCTTAAAATTGACATTTTAATGGAAAAAGCACAGATACTGTGAAATACCAGAATTTCTGTCCTCAATAGTGTTCATTTTCGGAAAACGAAAAAAAGCAGAATATAAAAGGTAACAGAAGGTCGACGTTACTGTCAAGTGCTTCAATTAAAGCTTTGTCTGTGGAAGGATCATCAAATTATTTACAGTGGTTTCTGAGAGACATTCCTCTTTCAGTACAGTTTGAAAACTGACACGATATTTGCTCTTTTAGTTAGTTACATAATGACCTAAAGAGCAGACTCTGCACTTGATTTTTGAGGATTTTTTCGGACCTTTCTTGAAATGTCATCCAACTGAGCAGATCCCCAAAGATTAAGCGATTTTGCGTTATTCATGACACGAGTATATTATATATTTAGGAAAATCCCCTACAGATTGAGCCTTGAGTCACTTTTTTGGCTCTTCTCATGCATCTTCTTTAAGCTTGGTTTTACTGGCCCCTGCTGTTTGTCTCTGGGTGTTTAACAGCTTAATACTGATAGTATTTTATGAGAACATGTGTTTGCTTTATAATCACAGAGTTAGTTAGAGAACCAAATGCTATAACGACATCATTTGACTTTGTGCCAAATGAGAAATGAAGGCCCTTTATTTATGAGCAGCAATGGCATGAATGGATATGAAAAGCCAGTGGAACAGGCAATCACAATTACATGTGAGGAGTTTAAAAGCTCAAATGTCAGAACAGTTACAGACGGACGTACATCATCACAGTGGTCACAGAGGATCTCACTTCAGCTGTGGTTTGAAAGCCACATTATGTACTGTGGAAAAGAGGCGCCTCTCTATGACTGTGGGTCCTTTTATTTTGGTGAAACTGGGGCCTCTGTGGCTTGTTTGTCTGGCAAGTTGTTTAAGCAACTGTTTAAAAATGGACTCAAAGCATGTAGTCAGAGCCCGACTTCCCAACAAACCCAATCCGATTTAATTTTCCGTCCTAAAAACGTGTTTTCTTCTGGAAAAACAAACATTCATCACCATTGTTTGATTTGAGTCCCACTCACATCTTTGTGAAACACATATTTCAGCCTTCATATTCCAGTTATGTCCTCATGAGAACTCAAAACTTGTACGTTTGTTTCCATTAATTTTGCATTCATGTGGATCCAGGAGGTACTTGGTTTTCATTTTCTTCATCTCTTTTCTTGTTTTCTTTCATAATCGAACAATTAAAGCTGCATATGTAAAACTTCTGATACACAGTGTAGTTTACTTCTTAGATGACTAAATATGGAGTCATTTACTCGGAGAGCAGAGTCATTCTGTTCCAGAAAAGCCATAGATCAGAAAAGCTTTTACAAAAACGTTCTTGTAGACATCAAAAGTAAAGAGCCCCTTTAACAGATTATGTCCTCCTCAAAATGTAAGAAAACTGTTTTCCAAACTGAATGAACCGCTACACCATGAAATTAGCTGGCTTCATGTTCACTGAAACCTCTTTCAAGGTTAATGACCAACTCCTTAGCTCCTGTACCAGCTCTGGTAAACTTTCCAATGATTGATGGTGTTTGTGACGTCTGCTTCTGTTTCCTGAAGGCTGCAGAGTCCATTCAAGCAGAAGACGAGAGCGCCAAGCTTTGCAAGAGGCGCATCGAGCACCTGAAGGAGCACAGCAGCGACCAGCCGGCTTCGGTCAACCTTTGGAAGAAGAAACGCATGGACCGAATGATGGTGGAGCATCTGCTGCGCTGCGGCTACTACAACACAGCCGTCAAACTGGCCAGACAGAGCGGGATAGAGGTAACACTTGGTTTGAAATTCATTCAATTCAGCAGCGTATGTCTTTTTGAAACTTTTAACTCCGATTTGAGCTAAAGCTGAATCTTTTCTTGTCGTCCCTTATTTTCTCCAACGCCCTTGTGCTGTCAGGATCTTGTCAACATCGAGATGTTTCTCACAGCAAAGGAGGTCGAGGAGTCTCTGGAGAGGCAGGAGACGGCCACTTGCCTGGCCTGGTGCCACGACAACAAGTCTCGCCTCCGCAAGATGAAGGTTGTTGGTTCAGCCCACTTTGGTGGAGACAGGCTTTTAAAAGCTGAGGGTTTTTCTCAAAAACTGCTTTGTTTCCCCTCTAACTATTTGAGACACAGGAGTTAACGTCTCGCAGTAAGCAGCTGAACACGCCCAAATGTTAATGAAGAGTATGTGTGAATTGAAACAAATAGAAGTAGCTTGAATGGGCGATACTCATTCATTAGGTCCACTCCTTGTTTGAGAGAGTTCTACATGTAAACACATTAGTTTAGGTAAAAAGAAATCAGCAGCTTTTTTACGGAATCTGCTGCTTATTTTTTTTTCTTTTTTAATAAATCATTCATCTGTGTTTTATAAACAGCAGAATAACTGTACAAAGGTCTGAGATATTTTGCAGCCGGTCATAATAATTTCTCATGCTGTGTTCTTTTAACAGTGTTTTACTTCATTTAAATCTCCATGCTTAAAGTGTCTATGTTGTCCCTTAAACTGAATTGCTCCCTTTTGATTATGAACATTGACATTACGCTGTGAAAGAAAGGAAACCTTAGAGTTCAAAATAACGCCTTAAAGTAATAATAAAGTGATCATTTGCGATGGTCAAACATCCGAGATGACTAAATATTTCCGTGCAGTATAAATATAAAGCACAGTTTAATGTTTTTACCTACCGGCCCCACTGACAATGGGCTGCAGTTGGGCACAAACCGCTGTTACTAAAATACACTTTTACACAAGTTTAATTTGTTGACCTAGCTGCTCGTTCACTGGTTGAAGCTTGATTGAACAGCAGCTCTTTTCTCTTTCTTTGACAGAGTTGTCTTGAGTTCAGCCTGAGAATCCAGGAGTTCATTGAGCTCATCAGACAGAACAAGCGCATGGATGCAGTCCGGTGCGTGAGAAGAACCACCACAAACACACACATTCTACACTTTACCAGTATTGCTTTTTGCCTTTTTCTGAGGCCAGTATTTCAGAGACTGTTGCTGAGCTTTTGGGGTCCCTGTGTTTACCAGACACGCGAGGAAGCACTTCAGCCAGGCAGAGGGAGGACAGTTGGATGAGGTTCGACAGGTCATGGGAATGCTGGCCTTCCCATCAGATACACACATTTCCCCATATAAGGTAACTGCCACATATTAGCTTCACCCTACAGCAGTCTTCCCCTACCCGGGTGCTCAGGGTCCACAGTCTTTTTCCCAGCTCCAGCACACCTGTTTAAAATGGCTTCATCAGCGTTCCTCAGAGCCTAAAGAGCTAAAGATTTCTAAAAGCGGGTTGCATAAATAAAACTGACTCAATTTGGCTTGAATATTTAAAATCCTCCCTTTGCTCTCTACTCCATCAGGATCTTTTGGATCCAGCTCGCTGGAAAATGCTGATCCAGCAGTTTCGGTATGACAACTACAGACTGCACCAGCTGGGGAACAACTCTGTTTTCACCATCACCCTACAGGCAGGCCTGTCTGCCATCAAGACGCCGTATCCTTAAAACCTGCCAACTGCCTTGATTTTGACTCGTCATATTTTCAATGTGTCCAAAAATGGGTTATTTGACGGTTATTTGCTAAATTACATTGATTTTGTTCCTTAACACCTAATTCAGTCAATGCTACAAGGAGGATGGTACTTCCAAAAACCCAGACTGCCCAGTGTGCAGTAAATCTCTTAACAAATTGGCTCAGCCACTTCCTATGGCCCACTGTGCCAATTCCAGACTAGTCTGTAAGATCTCTGGGGAGGTCATGAATGAAAACAACCCTCCCATGATGCTGCCTAATGGATACGTCTATGGCTACAACGTGAGTGCTTTGGGAGATGGTCTTCCGTGGAGATATTGCTGTGTGGCTGTCAGACAGCACCATATAAACCTCTTACATTTGTTTTTTTCCATCATTCCCCACAGTCTCTTCTGTCCATTCGCCAAGATGACAAAGTGGTGTGTCCCAGAACCAAAGAAGTTTTCGACTTCTCTCAGGCGGAGAAGGTTTATATCATGTGATCAATCGGATGGCCTTTCTTAGTGTTGACAAGATCAAATACGGCCCGTCGTCCATCATCTGTGAGCAGGCCCGCTCAGAGCACCAGTGGAGCTGTGATCCAGTGCCCCTCCTCCTCCCCCTACGGGCCTAAGAGGCCCATTGACACTCACCATCTGCTGGATGACCAGGTTGACCATCCCCCTCCCACTTTTATCTCACAGAAACTGGGCTTTCCTTCTTTCAGACTGTTTTAGATGTGGCTAGAAGTTGTTTGATCTGATCCATTCAAGCACATGGACTATAAACATTTTCAGTATCTTAAAGGCCTTCACTCTTAGTCTAGACAAAAGGACTGCCGGGAGGAAGAACTGCTAGCTAGATGTGTGATTTTACTACAACTAATAAAAAAAAATGTTGTTGCTTTGACTTTTTTTTTTTTTCTTCATGTTTTACCGACATGACATGGCATCGCCACATTAACCAGACCAACACAGGCTATTTTGGGCATCTTTAAAACTAACATGGTTGCTTGTTCACTTCTCATTTTTTATTTTTTTTGTGATGTGCTTCTTTTACACTGCTGCAGATTAATGGTATTTATCTGAATATGAGGTCAGAATTGATCATCTGCATGATTATATATGATAAAATAAGGATTTTTAATTTTATTTTAGTTTTGGCAGCAAATTCATGGTGTTTAAATTAGATTTGCTTCAGGTATCCATGAACCTGAGACGGCCCACTGTATCCTCGAGTAAACAACAATTTTCATTAAAGGTTCATGTTCCGCAGGTGGTTATAAAAAAGTATTGGGAACTTTCTAAGGAGTGAAACTAATGCAAGAAAACAATCATAGGTTTTTCTGCCCTTTTTTTGGTGAATTTATGGAATTTCCATTAATACTGGCTATATAACCAAGTCAGAATTATATAGGTTGAAATAAAAAAATGGTCTCTTAACAAAGGAAGACATAAGACAGAGTTGATATTATATTTAGGTCTTGTGCCTTTTGTTTAAGCTCACTCCAATACGACAGGGCTTATGTAGCATTAAAATAAACTCTTCTCATCAACATTTCACATCGTTCCACGCATTTATTTCTTTCGTGTCTTTTTTTTTTTCCCTTTTGAGACACATTTGGCGACTAACAGCGTTGTGGGTGTGAAATGGTTGATTTTTGTTTCCGAAACACTTTGTTTTGGGTCACTTGACGGAGCGGCTCAGCCCGAATCCTTTTGACTTTAAAAGTGCTTTAATGTGGATTACCTGAGCGGGACTTTTACTTAAGTGTCAATAAATGCACAAATAAATCATACAACAAACATTCATACTAAGCAATCCACAAAATGCAGATTTATTGGGAGTTCATCAGTTTTGTGCTTGCTTCTTGCATCTGTTTTATTAACTCACCAATAGCCACCTCATTTCTGTCCATTAGTGATTTGAAACTGTATCTGTAAAGACATAGACTGTCTTGTGTGTTTGTGTTGGTAGAATAGAAACGGGGATTGTTTCATGAGCAATATGCCTGATAAAGATTTCAGTGAAACTTTGATTTTAGTGTTTCTTCATTTGAAGTGTCTGCTTTGTTCTCATGGGCCCAACTAATCAGAATAGTCAGAAACTGTAGTAAATGAGGCGTGGCTGTTTTATTTTACATGGAAAGCTAGCCTCTCGGTTGTGTTCATCTAAAACTAAAGGAACTAATAAGGTTATCATAAAAAGTGAGGGTTTCTTCAGTGATGCAGGGCACTATTGATTATTCCAGTTTTAGATTTCACGGTAGAGAAAATCAAATTATAAAAGATTCAGGCATGACCAACTCAATTTTGGATATCTTCATGGAAAAAGAAAAAAAAAACTTGCAAAACCTTCAGTTTTGTTTAAATACCCTGTTTTGTCTCGCAACATTCACTCCATAAACAGAAAAGAGGCCCATGTTGAATCCTCCTTTTAATTTCCTCAAAGATTTATTTGGGGATTTGTCTTTCAATATCAACGAATAGATATGGTATGAGTTTGATAAGCTAATCCATGTTGCCACATACAAAACTAATTTAAAAGAAAACAAAAACACCTTTCATATTATCCTACAGCTGGATGATGGCATAAGAAAACAGCCTTTTGTTTATTGACTAGGTTTATCAACAAGGGTTATGTTTTTAATACTAAACTAAATCAACACCCACATAAGGAAGTCGTTTTTCGTGATGTGTGGTTGATCATTTATCTTACAGTTAAACGGTTAAGTGTAATCTAATTTTATGTTCATAAACAGTTGTTTAAAAATGGCTACAACTGAAACCAATATAAACTTTTTAAACCGATGTGACAAGAGAAACTAAGAAGGGCCGAGCTCAATTTGCGGCAGGAATTTTGTCGAGAAAGTTGCCCTTGTTTCGTGGTTTAAATTCGTGATGGTCGCGTTTGCCTTCATCTCCTACAAAGAACCCCTCAACCGGAAAGGGCGTTAACTACCGTCGTCAAGCTTGCTGTCGTCAGCACGTCACGTATAAATAGAGCTGCGTTCTTCCTCCTCCGCCATCTTGAGAACGGCACTCTGTCGTAGTCAAACAAGTCCATCAGCTCGTAATCATTTTGGGGGAAAATGAGTGACCAACTCTGCAAACTATTCGTCGGTGGACTGAATGTGGACACCGATGACGATGGCCTGCGCAAACATTTTGAGCAGTACGGTACTCTCACCGACTGTGTCGTTGTCGTGAACAAGCAGCTTCAGCGGTCTCGCTGTTTCGGCTTTGTGACCTACTCGTCACCAGAGGAGGCCGACGCAGCCATGGCGGCCAGGCCGCACACCGTCGATGGCAACGCTGTCGAAGTAAAGCGGGCCGTGGCGAGGGAGGATGCCAACAAACCCGAAGCCCTCGCTAAAGTCAAGAAAATTTTCGTAGGTGGTCTGAAAGACGACATCGAGGAAGAACACCTCTCCGAATACTTTTCTCAGTACGGCCAAGTCGAGAAGGCCGAAGTCATCTCAGAGAAGGAGACCGGTAAGAAAAGGGGCTTCGGCTTTGTGTACTTCACCGATCACGATGCGGCCGATAAGGCTGTTGTGGTGAAGTTTCACACCGTCAATGGACACAAAGTTGAAGTTAAGAAGGCATTGACCAAGCAGGAAATGCAGGCAGCCAACAGAACCGGAATGGCGCCGAGGGGCCGACCAGGCAGAGGCATGAGGGGAAATCAAAATGGCTACGGCGGCAGGGATTATGGCGGAAACTACAACTACGGAAATGGCGGAGGCTACAACTGTGGCAGCTACGGGGGCTACGGAGGGCCCTATGGGGGTGGCTACGGCGACCAGGGAAGCGGCTATGGGGGAGGCAATGGCTACAGCGACTTTGGTAGCGGCTACGGCCAGCATTCTTCAGGGTATGGTCCAATGAAGGGGCCTTTCGGGGGCCAGCGGAGCGCTGCTCCCTACACCAGAGGCGGCGGCGGAGGTGGCGGCGGCTACCCCCGGGGAGGCTACGGTGGCGGCGGCTACTAAACGAGACTCTACAATGGATAACGACGACCCTTCCCTCCCCCCCACGACCTGCCACAAACGACACAGCCAGGATTTGGACGCAAAAGTTAAGTCAGTAACGGGGCGTCTGCCGTGAAATCCAACCATGGCAGAGATACGGACACAGAGACCCCCCTAATCTAAAAGAAGACCTCAAAACCCAAACAGGTAGGAAGGTCACTTCCCAGAACACCTGATAATAACGAACAGCCGTTGTTGCCGTTCATCTAGGACACACAAAAACGAAGAATTACACGTGCAGCGATCCCTTTTTTATTATGTACCCACGCCGCCAGCGTGCAGTTGTCGTTTAGAGTTGAATTATTTTTTATTTGCGTTCATTCGTTGTTTTGACAATTTCGATGTAGGATTGTTTTTTGTTTTTTTCCAGAAGTTCCTGATTATTTTAATATTGGAAATTTTAAGCAGCTGGATTCGTTTTTTTGTTTTCTGGAGCAAATTTAGTGTGAGTTTTCAATGTACGAGGTTGAGAAAGCATGTTATGTTTTTCCTAGATATGTTACCCTGCTCATCAATTTGTATAATTACTTTCAGCAAAGGCGAAACGTGATACCGGAGAACTAGAGTCCTTGTTTCTTTTCCCCCATACTGTATTTCAATTCCTCACGTATAGTAATAGCTTCAGTCTAAATATTGTTCAATTTCCATTACCTGTAGCAATATCTAATGTATATTGTATACTTTCATGTCTGGAGAACAAAATATTGTTGAAACACTTTGGTATGCTTATGTATGTTCATTTTAAATAAAACGTTATACCACTTAGCTTAGTTATCTTACTTATTTAACCAGGCTTCCTCAAGTTTATCCACAGGTTTATAAGAGATCATCTTGTTGCTCTTTAGTTACGTGGCATCATTTCCACAGTTTATTCCCATACAGGTGGGTGAAATGGTTCTAGTCTACCCACAGCCAATGCATGTAGGCTTTGTAGGGTTTGACCTTGTTTTTTAAACTTGTGGTTTCTTGTAGATATTGCTCATGACTCACAATTTTCTTTTACATTTCTGAATATAACCATTTGTGGACATGAGGGCTCTGATATTTATCTTTGATTATTCCTATATTTAGGTGTTCTTACTTGTATTCCAGTAGGCTATCCCAGCCAAAATAGCCGTAGCAGTTTGTTTGTAGGCTACATCAGGACCCTGTTGATTACCTGGGGTCGATTGTGATAGGAGTCTGAAATATCTCTTTAGGATATCCACATCCAGCCAACTAGGTATGTAAATCAACCTGTCTTCACTCTGTGTTGGTCAACATTGTATGGAATATCTTCGTGGTGCACAACTGTGCCATTATTTAATCGGCTCAATACGAGTTTTTATATAGCTAATCTTATAATAAAAATGGGAAGGTGGGTTGCTTAATTTGCTCTGAACTATAAGGGGGTGGATGGAGATGCCTTTTTGCTCCAAAATTAAATGAAATGTTGGAGCAAATAGACTGGTATCTCATACAACAATCCCTCTCAGTCCTCAGTTTCTCATGCTGTTTTTTCTCCCATTTCCTCCAGGTTGCTATGGTAACCTGGGTACCTGGACATCACCCTAAAAGCGTCGGGGTGCGTGTCACCATGCTGACTGGGCACCAGAGATAGGTCATTCTGATTGGTCATCTCCTTCTCAGGTGAAGTCTGTTTTCACAACAGGTTTATAAGGAAGTTTGGCCCCACGCTGTCGGGTTCCTTTTCATTCATATGACCAAATATGACCTCTTCCACATTACTGAATAATGTGGACGTATCCTCTGGAAGATAAAAATGCAACCAGCTACACTTAGGCTCTGCTTTGTACTTCTCTGGATTATGATTAACCTTCAGTCATTTTAGACTGGGCACCACAAATGACTAATTGTAGATCAATGAACAACCTTTATTCATCAGACCGATGACCTGAGTTTGCCTTCAGAGAATGTTTTTCTTGTCAACTTTATTTTTTTCCTTCCCTTCCCCCAAAAAGGGGTATGGCAATATCTGAACCATGGTTTGGATAAACAAGACGATTTGTTTTGAAGATTCAATTTGCTAAATGTTTTATATATTATAATATCCAGACTACAGAAACTTAAACTCATAAATCTGCTGTATTCAACTCTTACAATATTCTGTTTTGTTCTATTTATTCGTTTGAAGTTAACCTCCAAATGAAAAGTAGTTATCTGAAACATGGAGTAACAATCTGGTGGGCTTCTTTTTTTTTTTTTTTTTTTTTTTTTTTTTTTTTTTTTTTTT